TATTGTGTTGCAGGAATTATCCTTTGTGAAAACTGACTTTTTTTTCTTTTTTTTTTTTTTTTTTTTTTTTTTTCCAAACTTTATTGTTGAGTATTTTTGTAAGCTTTTCAATTTTTCTTTTTAAAAAATGTATATATTATATAATGCTTTTATTTTCTTTGTAATTTCTGAGTTACCATTGGATTTGTTCTATTATTGCTAGCCCAATAAATAATTGATAGGTCAATTTTTTTTTTCTTATCAACCCACAAGTAATTGACAGCTTATTTATTTTCTTGTTTATGACCCCACAAATAATTGAGGGTTCATCTGATTTTTTTTTTTCTTATGGCTTCACATTATGGGTAGGGTGGGAAATAACCTCCTCTCACACACTGTCAAAGGGTGGTGGAATACATGTACATACACACATTTTGAAAAAAAAAAAAAAAATCACACACACACACACACACACACACACACACACACACTTCAAGGTTTTTACTTTTTTTTTTTCAACTTATTGATAAACATAACCAAAATAAGAATATTTTTCACTGCTTTATTCAGACCATTGTCTTTATCTTTCTTTTTATACCCACACTATCAAATTATACCCCTTGTTCAATCCACTGGGGTAAACTGTTCTGGTTCACATGGACTGAATAAAACATCCAGTTCAAAATTCTAAGAAGGTTACCAAATTCAACAGACATCTGAAGAAAGCCAGCGTTTACTATGGCCGACAATGCTGTGACTATAATAACCAAGATGAGGATCACTGTTCAAATGAATCAGTGTATAATAATTGATCATCATCTCTGAAATGCAGACAGAATTTGTATTTGATTTTTAAAAAAAAATTTTTTTTGTTCAGCTCAAATCCCATACACCCACCCCAAGACTTTCATTCAAATCATTTCAATGTTAATAGTGTGAAAACATGGATGTATTAATTGCTATCTAAGAGCACATCAATTTTATTTGAAAAAGAAAAAAAAAAAAATTTAGACTTTTGCACATTGACAAATCCATTGGGAACTTCAAATTGTGTTTTTTTTTTTTAATTTATTTTTTTTTTTTTTTTTTACAAGTTCGACAAAATTTGAAACCAAAGGAAATTCATTTTTTTTTTTTTTTTTTTAGTACTTTTCACATATTTATTTTTTAAAAAGGAAAAAAAAAAAAAAAAAAATTTTTTTCCACAAAGCAAGAAGGGGAAAAAAATTTACTCATTTTGGCTTTCCTTTTTGTTTTAAATTTGTAGCTTCATTTTAAAAAGCATTTTAAGAAATACAAAAATGAAACCCCCTCCGCAACTGCCAAAACAAAAATACTATCAAATACAATATTTAAGACGGGAGGGTGGTGTGTGAAAATAGCCTTTAATAAGAATAAAAGTTGGACCGGATCCTGCAACTGAAGTGTTATTGATTAAGCAGGTAAATTCTACACATCTGGTTGTGGAAATGGCCGGGTGAATGTTCATTTGTTAAAAAAATCTCACATGTAGACCATTTTATTTAAAGTTTTGAAAATGAAATGAGCCAAGGTGGTCTCCTCCTCCTAGAAATGAATTCTGACATAAAACATGCAAAGATTCTTATCTTTTCTGTTAATACTTTTGTGGCATAATTTTCTTCGATATATGAAACCATTCTGAAAGACCTTCAAGAAATGCTAAATATATGGTGACAATGAAAGAAAGGTTAAAGTTCAAATACCTTCACAGAATTTCTTCTGACTGCAAAGATACATATGCTTTCAGGTCTGGGTGTCCATGTACCATTAAACACTCTGGGATTGTAACATCTGTGATAAAATCTGTATAAACCAGGAGTCCCAAAAATGGTTGATATTGACTCCCTGGCAGTTGCTAGAACTATCCAGAGTGGTCAATAAATAAATCATGGTGACTTATGACTAAAACTCACCAATTTTTAACTAAACACCAATGCCCCATTAACCTTTAGCACTCTACATTATTCATTATACAGTAATGCATTGAGATAAGAGTTTAATTTGTTCCAAGATTGGGTTTATATTTCAAATCAATTTTCCCCATTGAAATTTATGGGAATATATCTGATCCATTCCTTGCCCCTAAAAATTATCCTTATTTTCCTAAAACTCACTCCTGTTTCTGTGGATTTCTTACAAGCAATAAAATAAGAGAAAACAAATACTCTTGAAGCTTGACACTCACTGTGCCAAGTAGCAGATGCTTAAATGAAACTCACTTTATCTGAAGGCAAAGAATCAGCTCATATCTCAAAAATCGTGTATGTCAGTATATTACTGTATTGCTTCTCCTTCCACTATATATGGCGGGTAGCAGTAGCCTTGATCTTGATTTAAATCAGGCCATTTCTTGCTATTGCTATAGCGGGATGCAACAAAACACTCATGAAATTTAAATATACAGTTATTTGGCAATTGGAGTCAACTGCAATAGCAGGACAAATGCTTTCCTTGGTGAATGATGAAGGTGCGTAAAGAGTGTTTAAGGTGAATGATATCAATGAATTCAATAAAAAAAGGTATATTGATTCATATTTACCTATATCTATTCTTACCGATACTATTCAGTATATGTTTTTTTTTGTTATTCAAACTTGTATAGCATCAGAAGAGAAACTTGGAAATAAATAACAAAACGAATTTCTACCTTTTAACTAAAAAAATTTTTTTTTTTTTTTTTTTTGTATATGCTTGTGGGGGGTTCGATGAGGGATCAAGGATGATATGAAGGAAACTAAAGGTCTGGAACATTTGTGGGGACCCCTGGTATAAACAACATTCATCATACGTTATTAATGTAAATTTAGTTATCTTGGTGGTGGTAAGAATGACCTTCTAAATACTGTAAAAATGTTATATTTGTTTTAAATTTTAAGTAAATTAATTCTGTCAAAGCTTTCCTGCAGTACTGAATACAAAACAGTTACCGGCATATAAGAAAATATGTCTCTTGTATAAATATATACAAGTTGTGTATTTACATGTAAATATTTATTGTGAACTGAAAACTTCTAATTATATGCTGATATATCAGTTTATAATTGACCCATGCTGTCATCCTCATTCTCACAAATAGCCTTGGCAAGCTATGCTAGGGGGAGATAATTCCTATCAGCTAATTATTCTGTCATCCATTTTGTTAATTCATCTTTGTGAGGTGGGTTATACTACCAGACCTGGGGATTGAACTCTCAGCTAACAGGCTGGTAGTGCAATGCTTAACCAAAATTTACATCCCGTAAACTATTGTTCCAGTATAGGGAGTGTGTTTTGGGGGCCTGAAACCCATACAGTTTTCAATTCTATAACAATGAAGATAACAGTTGGAATAAGTCTTAATCTTAGAAACTGAGAAGAGTAAAGTATAGCCATACACACAAAAATATATAGACATTTTTTTTTTTCTTCTTATGTATAATTATAATATTCAGTTGCTTTTTATAATAACTCCATGAGCTTGTTAGAAGCCTTGTGGATCAGAAATTTACATTACTAATTTCTTAAAAAAATTTCAAGTCCACATTGTTAACAGTCAGAAATTTCAATAAAAGGCAACTGAAATTAAGATGAAAGAAATAAGTCAAATATTTGTTGACAAAAATGTGTCATCTAAGAAATTCAAACTTTCTTTATATTAGTGTGTTGGTCTATTTGTACTAAACCATGTGTGGTGCAAGGCCAATCAAAATACTTATAACATGAGTGTCAAAATAGGGTTCGTTTATTCTGTGACAATGTCTTTGGCTTTTCTTTTCATGGTCATTGGCACCGGTTTAATTTCAGAACTTTGGTATTGCCTACCAGTGACCAGACAGTTTTCTAATATCATGTATTGGAAATTAAAAAAAAAAAAAAAAAAATTAAATTTGAAGAATATTTTAGTTCCTAAAAATATCTAATTTTTTTGTTTTCTTTTAGAGCAAAATTTTGGGTCAGTTTTGAATAATAATTATTAATAGTAAACCCACAAGGATTTTAAGAGAGAAAAAAAAAAAAGTCATTTAGAAAAAAAATACAAAACAGTATCAGTGCAAACAGCTATTTTAAGCATTTCTTTTAAGTGATTGCCAATAAAATATGTTAAAGCTAAGTTTGGTAAATAACTCTTACCTGGCACAGTTGCAGGGGACCCAGTTATAATGACCTGCAAGGGTAGCTTGTTAAATATTGTTCCATAGTAGGGGTCTGAAATCTGAGCAATTTATTTCATAAGTTTATTTATGTTTCTAACATAAAGGAATTTTTGATAGTTCCAGTCAATACATAAAAAAAAAAAATTGTCGAACTTTACTGGACAAAAAAAAAAAAAAAGCTTATACACTTATATAAAATATATTTCTACTTCAGTAATTTATTTAGAAAGTTATTCATTTTACTAAAAAAATATTACTTGAATAGTTTTAATTATTTTCAATAGTATTAGCTTTTAAAATCTCTTATATTGTTTGCAAATAACTAACAGTCATAGATTTATACGCTTTACTTTGGAACTTAATTTTTTTTTTCTTTCTTAGGAATAAAATTTAGTTGTAGTTAAAAAAATTAAAAGGATTCTTTACAAAAATTAGTAGTCATAAGAAAAAAAAAGGGGGGTTTCTTAAATATACGAGTAGTGGGATTATTCTTGTTAAATAAGAAATTTGGGTCTTGAGTTATAATCCCAACCCCCACCAACCCACTCAAGGATTACAAATGTTTTTAACATCCAGATTAATTCTAGAAGGCTCTATTTGCTTCCTTTTTATCTGTTTGTGCCTTCTCTTCATTTTTTTTTTTCTTCAGTTATAAAAGCCAAAAAGAAAATTCCGCTTGTAACTACTTGATTACTTTCTCTCTTTTTTATAATTTTACATGTTCGTTTTTTTTTGTTTTTTTTTTTTATTTTAAATATAAGATGTTGAATAGGTTCACTTGTTTCTGTCTTCTTTTTTTGTTTTTCTTCAATGTCTAGTCCTTTTCTTTCTCTTATTATTTGTCACTTTCTTTATCACTCTCACCGATTAGATCTCCGCAGCAGGTTTTGAGTCCGGAATGTGACTGTTGTGTGTGATGTAATTACTCATCTTGTGACAGTCAGAACCCATCATGTTTCCTGGAGCAGACAGATTATTGCCAACATAGCCAGTTACTGATGGTGGTTGCATCATCTGCACTCCACCTCGACTGGTGCTCGATCCCTGGGAGGAAGAGCTGTTAGCCGAAGAAGGATGACTGGCCACAGAACCAGCAGGTGAGACTTTCATTTGAGGCCCACCATAGGGAGGTGGGGCCCGCTGCTGCTGCTGCATCATCATGATCTGTTGTGTAGGAGTAGGAGTCAGTGGCATCTGATTGGGTACATAGCCATGAGGTGGCAACATCTGATTAGTCATAGGCACTGATGGGTTTTGCTGGTGGCCCTGATGGGGTTCAGAGTTATTGCTGGAGCTTGTCAGGCCTGTAGTTGCTGTGGTGTTGCTGGGACCGGCACTGCTCTGGTGACTTGGCTGACTGTGAGAACTCTGGTGGGTGCTGCTCGAATGGGCTGACTGGCTTTGGGAGATGCTCCAGTGAGGGTTTTGATTCATCGCTTCCATCTTCAGGCCTCGAAGGCGGGCATGGATCTCTCTGAAAGAGGGACGGCGAGACGGGACCTCATGCCAGCACTCGACTTTCAGAGCATAAATGCGAGCATTGCAATCTTCGGGACAGCGAAGGATCTGCCGGGAACGAATCATGTTGATCACCTCTTGATTCGAGTAGCCATAATAGGGTTGCAGGCCATAACTGAAAATCTCCCATAAAACCACACCAAACGACCAGACATCACTCTCGGTTGTAAACTTTCCATAAAGAATTGATTCTGGAGGCATCCAGCGGACAGGAAGAAGGGACTTACTCTGAACTCTGTAGTAATCTGATGAGTAAATATCTCGAGAAAGGCCAAAATCCGATATCTTAACAGTCATTGCATCTCCAACTAAGATGTTCCGAGCTGCAAGGTCTCTGTGCACAAAGTGGTGACTAGCAAGGTACTCCATTCCAGCCGCTATCTGTATTGCAATGTGAAGCATGTCAAGGTAGTCCAGTACTCGATTCCCTTCTTCATCCCCTCCTGCAATATCAGAGTGCGGAGAATGTGTTATTAGGTATTCATGCAGATCACCCTGACTCATGTATTCAAATAGCATCGACATCGGTTCTTGCTTCATGCACACGCCTAACAGGCATACTATATTGGAGTGCCGCATCTCCGACATCAAGTCCACTTCCCTCCTAAAGTCGTTCTGTACTTTGGGGGATGCGTTCTCTTTAAGAGTTTTAATGGCAACCTTTGTAACCGAATTCTCGCTGAAGAGACCGATAAGTTCCCCTTTGTAAACCTTCCCAAAAGCACCTTCTCCGAGTTCTTGTATAAAACGGATATTCTGTAGGGGAAATTCTCGAGCTCTCATGGTAGATTTAGCAGCCAGAGGACTCAGTTCCATCGGCTGCCCTTGACGTTGGGATGCCTTGTCGTTACTTCCTTGATAACGGTTGTGTGAACGCTGGCAAAAGCAGACCAAAGCAAGCAGGAGGACAAGTGCCAAAGGGACAGTAATTCCTGGTACCAGGATGAACATCAACTTGTTCACATCTTCACTAATTCCATGTGGACCTGGAAAATAGAGAAAGGAAAAATATTTAATAGAATTATCATGTTTTAAGAGTAAATATTTTATTTTTTTTCCCCCCGCAACCCAAAGAACAGTGTCTATTGGAAATAGATATAATAATTATAATAATATTTATTATAAAATGCAGTCCATAGTAGATACCAATGTTTTGTATGCTTCTTCATTGTTTATTATATATGAACCTGCACCAACACAGATCCATATATTTAGGTGAAGAAAAAAAATGATATTTTTAAACAAGATGCCCTTGAGGTTAGTAGGTCAGACATTTTGAACTGTGAAAGTTGAAATAGTTGAGTTTTTTCTGCTTCCAAGGTTTTGTACTTTTTTTTTTTTTTTTTAATCAGTCCACCCCAAGCAAAGTGATAATGCCACTAAGATGCAAGGATTACTGGGGGTGAATGAGAAGACTTTAGGATTTGGTTTCTGGTTCCTTCTAAACAGGAAACAAGGGATAAACCTCTACTCCTGTTCAATATATGGGATGTTACTCAGGCCAAGGAGAAATTTCTGTGACAATTTTTATTTAAAAAATATAAATAAATAAAAACCAAGAGAGTACTAATAATGTCCTAAAAAGGGTTAAAATTCTTACATTTGCTGATGTTACATTCCTCCTTGACCACTGTTGTTTCAGTAGTAAAGCACCAAGGTCTGTCCTGCAAACCTCCTGGGTTGCGACAGTAATTGTGGCCGCCTCCTGCAAAGTCAAAAAAAAAAAAAAAAAAAAAAAAAAAAAGATCTAATCTTCAGCATATAAACATAGAGAATAGATTTTTCAAAATTTTCTGATAGAATTTTAATGAATTTGTTTTGAAATCAGCCTCTATGTAGAGGTGATCCCAGCATGTGGCACCTTTTGAAAGTGTATGAAAACAATTTGGGTGCTGTCAAAAGTCATCGTGACCGATCATACTAGATAATGTGCTATCTCCCAGAAACTGTAACTCAGATCTGCCCAGCATAGTTGCAGTGGAAACCACAGGTGAGCTCTGTGGGTGTTGGGCAAGCATTTGCCAACTTAGTAGACAGGCATACTCAGGTAATATCAAATAAATTAGACATAGAAGTGGCTCTAGCTTTTTAAAAATATATATTTTTTTAAAATCATTAATGAATTACTTTTCTGTTAAATTGAGGCACATCTGCCTACCTTTCAATCATAGCTCTCCACTTGACCCTATTCCTACCTTTCAATCATAGCTCTCCACTTGACCCTATTCCTTGTAGCTCTCAATAAGTTTTGTCCCTCTGTCATGTTCCCGCATCCACTTGCTTAAGCCAGCCAGGTATGTCATGTGTTGCTTTCCCTTGTCTCTCTTTCCCTCTATTCGACCTGAGAGTATCTGATTCTCCAGGCCCTCCTTCCTCATTACATGTCCCAGAAACTTCAGCTGCCTCTTTCTGATGCTAAGTAGAAGCTTCCTTCATGTTTGCATCCTCTTCAAAACCTCATCGTTACTCACACGCTCGATCCATGATATCCTCAGTATCCTTGTGTAGAATTGTACCTCAGTTGCTTTGAGTCACTTCTTCATCTTTTAGGAGACCGTCAATGCTATAAAGGAGGACAGATGTCACGTAGCAGCTCAGTATTCTTTTCTTTGTTACCAAAGAAATCCTCCTGTCTCATAATACTCTGCCTAGCTTTTGGAATGCATCTTTGGCCATTCTATTATGTCTTCGGATCTCAGCATTGCATGTACCATTCTCTGTCAAAACACTACCCAGATATTTAAATTTCTGCACCTGCTTGATTTTAGTGTCCCTGACCTGTAAATTGCATTTTGGGCTCATCCTTTTACTGATGACCATGAATTCTGTCTTCTTGTAGTTTATGCTTAGTCTCTTCTTCTCGCTCTCCTTTGCTACCTTCGGTGGGAGGTTTTGTAATTTCTTTTCCATGTCTGCTATCAGTACTGTGTCATCTGCCTCATTTCTCATTATGTGTTCCAGAAACTTCATCTGCCTCATCCTCATTTTAAGTATAAGCCCCCTCCCTTTGTTTGCATCCCCTCTAAGACCTCAGCATCCATCTGTAGAACCACATCTCCATTGCCTCGAGTCTCTTCTTCATATTTGAGGAAATCGTTCAACATAAAGAAGGACAGATGTCACGTAACAGCTCAGTATTCTTTTTTTCATTATCAAAGAAGTCCTTCTGTCCTGCAATACTCTGTCCAACTTCTGGAATGACGTCTATGGATTTCAGTGTCGTATTTATTGCCCTCTGCCAAAATGCTTCTCAGATATTTATAGTGTTCCCAACCTGCAAATCGTATTTCAGGCTTATCTCTTTGCTGATGACCATGCCTTCTGTCTTCTTGTAGTTTATACTTAGTCCTTTCTTCTCACTCTCCTTTGCTACCTTCTGTAAGAGGTTTTGTAGTTTCTTTTCTGGTCAGACACTGCTTGTATTATCTAACTAAATAATCTGGACACTAATTATATATACTTATTCTTCATCTTGTCAGATTCCAATCAACATTTAATATACATTAAACCTCCAAACTCATAATTTTACTCAATATTACAAGATTTTTAGGATAGATTCATATATCTATAATTCTCAAAGTGTGTCTCCGTGATCAAATGTTGTTTATGCGTTTACACAGTTTTCATCAGATTTTTATGATTTTGTTTTGTTTGATAGATAATTCTTTAGTGCTGGTTTTGAGTCTAAATTGTTGACAATGGCTCTCCACTACTTCCTGTCTATTATAACTCTCAGCAACGTTTTACTATCTGTTCTTGGATATATATCTTTCATAAAAACTTTAATAAAAATAAATAGTTTAAATTATTACAATAATATTATCTATATCTAGTTTGTGTGTGATTGGATATTGATTATGCATTTCCAGTTTTCACCTGAACGCTGCTGCGCGTGAGGCTGAAACAAGATTGAGAATGCAAAAACAGACTTTTTCAGGCACACCCCACCCATTCAAATTGTTACCCCCGACCCCATTTGGGGAGTGCCTCAGTTGCACCCAAATGTTGTTACTAATATTGATTTTCAGGTGGGCTGACTTTAAACTAAACTGCTCCAATTGAATGGCAAAAATTCCCAGTAATGAAAGACACAGTTGAAATCAGGTTATACTGCTATTTTAATATACATTTGACCCCACCAAACTCACAATTTTACTCAGTAGTACAAGTTGTCTTTTTTTTTTTTTTTTTTGTATATATAAATGCTAGGAGGATTATAATTCTTTACTCACAGTAACAATTCCCCTACAAAGGTAAAAATTTGACATTTTTTTATTAGAAAAAAAAATAAAGAGAACAAGAACACTTACGGAGTTCGGGGTAATCAGATGAGCTGTAAACATGTTTGTGGGGGTACTGAACACTCCAAGACTGGCAGGTCCATCCAGATTTAGTTTTGTCTACTTTGCCTTGGTAGGAACTGCCTTTGTCAGTGTAGCAATTGATATCAACATCTGTTGAAGTGAGGAATAAAGAAAAGAGTTTTTAATGAGACATACATAAAAAAAAAAAAAAAAACTTACAAAACTGCAGTTATTGATGTTACCCCACCCCAAGCAACTGATATCTATAATTCTCTTGTAGAAATCCTATAAAACCGTGCAGTAGATGTTGTTCTTTTTTTTCTTCTTTTTTAAACCGCCAAACATTTTGTCATCTAAATCTTTTCTAAGTGTAAAGGTTTGGTTTGGTTTATGGCATATCAACCTCAATGGGTTATTTAATGCTGACAACATTTTCTTTTTTCCTGGTAATATTTTTACTTTGTCAAAAATCTATTTTTGTTAATATTTTATATATAACTAGACTCGTTTCGAAAAACCCTCGAATTTTTGATTTGCTAATCAAATCAATCTTGAGGGAAAAAGGTTTTAAAAAAAAAGAGCTACAAACATGAACTTCTGCTGCCGACAAAAAATCATACACAGATGCAGGTCTGAAGCCCAAAGAAAAAACCCTGATAATGAACAACTAACTAACAAAAGAGCTCAATACAACTGTAGAGTTTTTCCGTTATTGACTTTCCACTGAGGATTTTTTTTTTTTTGTTGAATAAATATTTATCCCCCAAATTTTGTTTTTTTTTTTTTGTCACGTGGTATGATTTTTAGCTATCACCTATAAATATGTGTTTCTCTTTGCCTCGTTAGAAAATAAACTTTCCCTGACGATCCGTTTAGGTGAAACCTAGGTAGGTTTGTCTGGCTCACTAGGTGTATCTATCTATCTCTCTCTATATATATATATATATATATATATATATATATATATATATATATATATATATATTTTTTTTTTTTAAAACCGAAAAAGCTGGTAATATTTTTTCAAAAACGTATAGCTGGCAACATTATTTTTTCAAAAGCATATTATCAGAGGCCTTGCTGTTGGACGTAGTTTATCGTCATACCCAGGACGCTAAGTGTAAAGGTCAAACTTTTGTAGCTATTTACAAAACATAATCGGACATTAAAAACTACCATTATTACTCTGTGACACTTAGTGAGACTCAACCATCACTCGAGTAGTCAACCATAGCCGGGATCATTGAGTCATTATGAATAATCCTTTCCTTAGCTGCATAGCATTTAATAAGAGGGAACTTCACTGCAGAAGCAGAAACGCTTTTGTGGAGTAACTCAGTTGGAAGTAAGATGCACATAAGGGAGCTAGTGTAATGGGTTTATAAACAATGCTCGAGAGCCACTCAATGAAAGATTAGGCGGATAGATAACGATTACAATCTTAACCTCTTCAGGTCAATGTTCAGGGAAGCATCTATGGAGGTGGGGGCTGTTCTACAAAGTCACAGTTCTTGGGTGGTGGGGAGCTGTCTGAGTTGAAGATTTTTCTTGCATTTGAAAGCTTACAGCCATATCTCATTTAATCACTGGTCAGTACCCGGACTGATGACCACCAAGTACTGTAAGCATGGATATGCAGGTAATGTGATGGATAATGGCTTGAAATTGGAAATCAGAGAGCCGAGTTCTAATTCCACTCAGTATGTTATGACCAATTATGTGCAAGTACCATTGGAAAACATGAATTCACCTCTTCTCTTCCCACCTATGTGTTTGCATCATTAAAATCTTTATGTTAAAAAAAAAAAAATTTTTGGCTTTAAAAAAACCTGCTAATGGTTGATAAGTCATAAAAAGCAAATCAATCAATCAATCTTGATGAGTTTACCCTTGTATGGAAACCCCCTGCCCAAAATGGCTGCAAAAAGGAAAAAAATAAAAATTAAATACTAGCGACACAACACTTTTACAATAAAACTTGACATTTTGAAGAGTTGATACTAAAACATTTATCCTAGGGAAAAACAGATATACAAAAACAATAGAGGAACCTTTACGGACACAGGATAAAACAGACAAAGCCAGAAGCAGTTTACAAGTTTATTGAAAGAGATGGAATTGCTGGAAAAGCAGACAAAAGAAAAAGAAAGAAAAAAAGCTAGCAAAAAAGAAGCAGGGAGAAATATTATTATACATTTAAATTAGTATCATCTTTGTAAATTGAAACATTGATAAAAAATAAAATGAATTTATTAATGTATTTATCTTTCTGTCTGGAGTACATTTTGCATCTTGTATTCTTTAATATATTCAGATGCTACCATGGATAGCTGAGCCTTTATATAATAATGGTGACATGTTATTTTAGTTTATTAGTGTAGAAACTAGGATAGGCATGCCAAGGGAAAGTTATGAGCCCATTTCTTTTCTTCAGTTGTCAGTTAAATAGCTGTTTAGACTAGGTTTTCTTGCCTTGATTGGTAACCAGTCTAGGTGAAGAACAATTCTGAATTTAAAGCCTGGTATTATTGCAATGGTCTGTTCACCCAGCCAGTGGAGTGGCAACATTTAATGGTTAAAACAGAAAAATTCTGCAACCAGACTAGCCCAAACAGGCACCGGACATTCTGACTGGTCAAAGTGAAGCTGATATTTAACTACTTTTGCCTTATTTTAGTAAATAAAATTTATTGCCCTCATCACTGGTTATTTTTCTTATCATGTTTCGAGCCTTTATATAAGGTCAGCGTTATTTTTGTTTATAAATGTACTTGTAGTGTAGCATGGAAGGTTGGCTCAGTATATTGAGTAAAAATTCCAACTAAGGTCATTGCATTCGCTTTTTCACAAATACCCACTGCTATGGGTTAAATAGTTTGACGGCTAGTCTTGGAGAAGGACAACACTAAAATTCAAATCCGTCCCACCAGCAGGGTGGTAACTGGCAAAAATGCTATAAACATCATCACAAACTTGGCAGCTGAAGGGGATATTTTTGTTAGGTAAAATTCTTACATCCTATTATGTAGGATGTGCAGGTGGTGTACTGGATAGCAATTTGAAACAAGAAATTTGGAGAGATGAGTTCAAATTGCAGTTGAGTTTCATTACATTTACTTTCATGCAAATATCCTTGAGAAAGGTAGAACCACATCTTCACTCTCCACAGCAATAGATTATATAGTAGGGCAAACTGGGTTCTTCAGCCTTGATTTGCTGACAGTCCAGGAGTGAATTCAAAACTGTATGTAGCTCTGGCAAATTGTTTGGTCTGTTTTTTAGGATTTATCAAACTTTTGCACGTTATTTAAAACCAGAAATTATTTTTAGAGATGAATGACAATGAGAGCTGATTATTTGTAGGGAAGAATATTTTTTCTTACCAATTAACCCATAGCTAGGGGGAGAAGAGATGGATTCATACCTTTCCCAACGGTATTTGCATGTAAATGAATATAACAAACATGAGTAGAACTGGAACTCAGTTTTGCAATTTCTATTTCTGAATTGTTATTCATTACACCAACAACCTTACAGCACCTGGTATTTCCAATTGGTCACCCATCTGGGTTCTGACCAGGCTTCGTGTTGCTTAACTTCGGTGATCGTACATGAACCCAGTATTTACTACGTAGCCAATAAAAGGATCATAGAGTTTACATTGATTCTATGATCCCAACTGCAGTTGTTTAATCAGTCAGTAGGTATAAGCAGGGCCTCTGTGTCTTAACCAGGTCTTTTGGAGCCCCATTGTGTCTGCTCCCATTTATTCCTCAGCACTGTTTTATGGCCATCTGCCATTTTTTTTAAATTATTTTTAAACTTATGTTACATTATCAGACATCAATTAATAACATACATCATGTATCTGCATGGCTGGTGTGGTACGTACACTCTAGGGACTCCCAACTATGTTAGAGCCCCAAAAGGACTAGTTTCAGCAGTGCTTTTTTGCTTTTTGTACCCAAGTTATATTGTCAATCATCAACTATAATAATCAACTACCCTGGACCTTTCATCCAAATGGAGGACCCCGAGCCTACTGGAGAGGTGAGGCAGAAGAGCTAATTTCAGTAACATTTATCTTTTAAATTGTAATTTTCTTTCTGAAATTTTAAATCAATCAAGCGGGTAATATATTTCAATAAAATCATTTTTTATTCAGAGATCATCCACTAAGAAGGATTTCTGATTTTTTTTTTTTTTTTTTTTAGTAATAGTAATACTAACCAGAAGTTCACAGCTAGTAATTAAAATAAAATTTCTAGTCTCTATTTTTTTACATTTCTATAAAAATAAAACCGAGAAAATGATCACTTAAAAATTTGTCACTTAAACATTTATTTTTTTGAGTAAAATTTAGTCATGAAAATATTGGTGGTTATTACCAAAAGAATAATATTTTCTCGGATTTTATCTAAATAAAAATCTGTTCATTATAAAAGTAAATAATTAATGAATAAGTACTGAAATTTTCATTTAAATTGGATAATTCCCTGATATTTGGTAATTTAAAAAAGCACTGCACTTCCCCATCAATTTTCCTTTGTGGCCTCCAGGTTGTGGAAAACTTGGTTTGTGGCCCCCCGATTGGGAAACCTTGAAATGACATGTAGTAGAGAGGGGGGCACTCATATCAAAGTTTTTATGTTGAAACTTAAGAGCTGGTCCTGGCTATAATACAATTTTTGCAGTAGTTTGTTAAATAACGTTTATCATCTTCAGCACTGGCAAATTTTTTTTCTTCCATAATGCCATGTGATTTAATTGTGCTGATTTTTCTTTTCAACTAAAACATAGCCCTACAAATCAGTGTATAAATTGAAATAACTGTGAATATAAAATATGTATGTTACTAATTAAATTGCTTTAAAGTAAACTTTAGAACAGACACACATGTGTATCCAAGGCAATATCCCACAAGGCACAGATATGCATCTTGTAATTTTTAAAAACTTCCAGATGTTTCATACATTTGGTTGGTTGGTTGGTTGGTTGGTTGTTTAGCACCATATCAACATCTCTATGGGTTATTTAATGCCAAAATCTAATTATTTTTCTATGCAGTTTTATTTTATTTTTTCGAGATTTTAGTGATACATGTGAATATAACTAGAATTGGAACTCGGCTCTCTGATTAACAATTCCATTACACCATCTGCACATCCATGCTTACAGCACCTGTTATTCCCAAGCAGTCACCCATCAAGGTACTGACCAGGTTTGATGTTGCTTAACTTCAGTGAGCATATGGGGAAACAATGTTTCAATGTGATGTGGGCATAAGCAAAAAAAAATAAAATAAAATAAAAATGTTTTGATTCTGACAGACATTGCAGGGAGAAGGAAAGTAATGTGGCCTTAAGTCCATATACATTTGAGGAAGGCATAAGGCCATATCACTTGAAGCATTGTGATAAAAACAACAAAGATGAAGATACTAATCCAATTCATGTGTAATAATGAAACAATCTCAGAACTTCAGACAACAGAAATAAAATATATACTTTGGTTTGGTTGGCATGGTCAGAAGAATAGATGACCAGAGCAACTGTGTCTACATAGATAAATAATATATATATATATATATATATATATATATAGATAAATAAAACAAAGAAAGAAAACTAGCGAAGACATTGAGCAAATAGTACATAGGAGGAATACCTTGCCAGTAGTTAATGGGTCTGTACCTCGTGTCTGTTTGGAAATAAAAACATAGCTGTATCAGATATAGGGAAGAAGAAAAATAATATATATATATATATATATATATATATATATATATATATATAGAATAGTTTGAAAAGAGGTCACTTGTTATCTCATTTCAGAAGTGTGTGAAGAAGGAGGAGGAGGCTGACTTGAAGGAAGTCAAATCTTGCCTTATTTTGTATAGCAACACAAGAGAGAAAAAAAGGAGAGAAAAGGTCTGGACACAGATTCTCCCACAACTCTTTGACAAGAGTCAGCTAGGTAGTTAAAGCTGAGGTTTAAAGTCCATGAACAGTAATTGAACTTGAAGACATTGTTAGTTGAGTGGTGTGTATTTAATGTTGGGCTAAGTTAATTTATAATAAATATAAACATTATCATACTGTATATAATCCTTGGGAATTAATATTGGCCTTTAATCTTACATAAATACTATCATACATATGGCAAACACCACCTTGTGGTATATTCAAAATCTAGAATGTGACCCCAAACTTTTAGCTGATAGTGTATATATTACACTGCCATTATACTTGTTGATACAGATGAGTTAAGGTCACATGTTTACAATTTGTTGTATTATAAAACAGACCAGTCACAGAAGTAAGGTATGGTGGGAACAGCCAAGTGGCATTCAAATGGCCAGAGCAGGATTTGCTGAACTTTAGCTGGCAGGGTTTCACTCCCTACACATATTGCAAATGCAACTAAATGTAGAGAACACATCTAAAAGTCACACATTATGAAATGGACAAAGTCTGACAATTATTTTAAGACGTTTTTTTTTATGTTTATACATGCTTTTATAGATACAAATATTTAAGTAAATGCTCTGTTTATAATAAACAGTATTAACAACATTTACTGGCCTGAATGTCTGAGAAATTTTCCTAGAAAATATGCGTCTTCCGACAGGAATTGAACCTGTATCCTATATGGAACCGTCATATAGCCTGACATGGCTTAACTGATTGAGCCACAGGATCGTTTGGTTAGCAAGGAAGATTGTAAAACAAAAAGCAGTAAAATCGACCTTGCTAACCAAATGATCCTCTGTGGTTCAATCTTAAGGCACGTCAGGCTATATGATGGTTCCGTATAGGATACAGGTTCAATTTCTGTCGGAGGATGAATATTTTCTATGAAAATTTCTTGGACATTCAGGCTGGTAAATGTTGTTAATACTATTCATTATAAACAGAATTTACTTAAATATTTGTATCTATAAAAAGAATGTATAAACATGAAAAAATGTCTTAAACCATCTAGAAGTGTAAATATTGCGTTGGCGAAAAAGTTAATTCAGGTTTATTAAGTAAATTTTCTACATAAGTAAATTTTTGGCCAACACAATATATACACAAAGAGATAAACAAATTCTTGCATAAATATTTTTTTAAATTGTACCAATCAGTATTCAAAAGGCTAAATCATCTTAGAGCCCCTGTTAAAATTATAGTACCCTCCTAACACCACTGAACATTTGCTAACCATCCACCCATCTCAAACCCATATGTGACCCCCATATTCCACAGGAGAGTCAACAAGATTAAGAAATACTCCCTTTGACTGCCCTCCCTTGAGAGTCCATAGTTCATTATTGAACCCCTTAAGAATTCCTGATTTAGAATATAGTTCCCTAATTCTCCTGTGGACTTACTGCCCCCTTTGAGAGTTCATAATTCATTATTGAACACATTGAGAATTCCTGATTTAGAATTTAATTCCTTATCTCTGAGAACTTACTACTTCCACCCCAAGAGTTCATAGTTCATTATTGTTTCTTCTGGGAATTGCTGATTTAGAGTATACTTCTCTAACTCTCCTGGGGACTCTTTGAAAGAGAGATCAAAGGTTCTGTCCATTATTGGCCCCATCAAAAATCCTTGATTTGGAGTATAGTTATTCATAGTTGCTCCATATGCAATTTAATAAATAAACTTGGTTCAATGTCCCACTGAATGACTTCTTACTTCTGTGTCTAATTAGAGCTTGAATGTCTTCAATCAAATTTTTCAAAGGTCAAATAGTTGTTAAATGTATTACATTCTGAAAGGCATTTGGCTGTAACTCCATCTTGTGTTAGGCAAGGTCGTCAACTTCCTTAAAAGAACTGGCATTTCTTTTTTTTTTTTTTACTGAACAGGCAGAAGAAAATGAGAATCAGTATTTGGAAATGAACTCTGGAACATACTCACTACAACGAGGGATGTTACAGCGTTCTTTTTTCACTTGTTCATTCATTGTAAAGCACCAAGGGGCATGATCAGTATTACCGGGGTTGCGGCAGTAGTTGTGATCTCCTGAAAATGAGGGAAAGAGTCATTATCATTCTCGATGTCTACAAATACATACAGAAAATTTTTTGTTTCATGCATCTCATATGTGTATATATATATATATATATATATATAAAATAAAAAGGCTTAAACACTAATATTCCATGGTCATAATTTATTCCATTGGAATTGTAAATATGATCCAATTCATCAGACCTACAAATTCAAAAAGAAAACAGAAAAAACAACTCTGGAAATAAAAATAGAATTTAGAGAGGGTGTAAGTATGAGAGTGTGGGACGAATGTTAGAGTTAAAGAGAGGGGTAACATACGAGAGAATGTGGGAGATTAAAACTTAACAGAGAGGGTTTTTTTTTTTTTTAAAATAGAGGTGAGTGGAATTATGACCATGGAATATTAGTGTTTAAGCCTTTTTATTATATCCTTTCTCTGTCCTGGATTCTATCCTCCCTGGAATTTATTCAAAAATATACATGTATGTGTATGCACCTATATATATATATATATATATATATATATATATATATATATATATATATATATATATATATATATATGTGTATATTTACCACTAACTAATATATATATATATATATATATATATAGCATATGTATGTGCATATTTACCACTAATAATATATATATATATATATATATATATATATTTACTATATATATATATATATATATATATATATAGCATATGTATGTGCATATTTACCACTAATTATATATATATATGTATAGCATATGTATGTGTATATTTACCACTAATTATATATATATATATATATATATATATATATATATATATATATGTATGTGTATATTTACCACTAATTATATGTGTGTGTATATTTACCACTAATAATATATATATATATATATATATGTATAGCATATGTATGTGTATTTTACCACTAATAATATATATATATATATATATATATATGTATAGCATATGTATGTGTATATTTACCACTAATAATATATATATATATATATAGCATATGTATGTGTATATTTACCACTATATATATATATAGCATATGTATGTGTATATTTACCACTATATATATATATATATATATAGTATATGTATGTGTATATTTACCACTATATATATATATATATATATGTATGTGTGTATATTTACCACTATATATATATATATATAGCATATGTATGTGTATTTTTACTATATATATATATATAGCATATGTATGTGTATATTTACCACTAATAATATATACATATATATATATATATATATATATATTTACCACTATATATATATATATATATATATATATATGTATGTGTATATTTACCAATTAATTATATATATATGTATAGCATATGTATGTGTATATTTACCACTAATATATACAAACTTATTCTTATTCAACCCTGGTGCATAGACTGTATTCGTGTTGGAATTAGAGATTTAAAATTTTTACTTTGACAGCAGTTGAAAAATCGATGCAGAACCAACCCATTTCGACACCTCAGCCAGACAAAATGCCCAAGTTGGGAGGGTGAAAGATAAGAATTTTAAGGGGAAGATGCTCTACAAAATCAAATCCTACCAGACAGCACATGTTTTTCTTTAATAAAATTTCTCAAATATTCAGCTTCATAGCCAAAAAAAAATAAGTAATGTTTAATAAATAAATGGAACGTCTACTCAAATATGGGTATCCACTAAAAAGTAATGTTTAAGTAATTTTGTATATGTATATATGAGGGAACATTGAAGTCAGCACTCAGAGATGACAGTGTTTCATGCTAATTGCAATTGTCAGGCCATGCAATCAGATGGCCTGACAATTGTATTTACCATTAAAACAGAGTGTCACCTCTAGGTGTTGACTTCAATGTCCACTTTTATATTTACATGCTCTCTATTCCTGATATTGAGCACTTTAACCTATAAATACAGCATACCTTACAACTATATTTTTTCACACACACATATATATATATATATATATATATATATATATATGTGTGTGTGTGTCTAATAGTATAAAAATTGTGCTTTGTTAGTTGCCAAAGTTGCTGGTTCTTCTCTGCAGTTTACCGATAAAAAGGCAGGCAGGTTTAGGTCTTAAAGTGCTCGATATCAAAAGGTAAGGATAGAACCTTAAACTTCACAATGTTGGAGGTCAACTTAGAGATTTGTGATTCCTTGCTTCACAGGACCCAGAAATTTTGAGTTGACTCCTGATAAGAAACATTAACTTTTATTTTTGATCATTTTGATAATCATTGCTCCATTGTGCATCTTATTGCCAAAAATTCTCTTCATCTTGACATACAGTGAATTATGTATATCAATACGAATCATTACTATTATTTTATACACACATTGGCTTACGGCCATAACACATTAAAACACCAGTTCTTCACAATTTGCACTGCTGCCAATGGGTTCAACTGATCTGTATATTTGCTATATTTTTTTTTTCTGTTCACTATCTTCTAAATCCATATATCTCATTCCTGAGGGACTTGAAAACAACAGTGGAATGGATTAGCGGAAATTTTACAGTAATTAGAACATAAAAGAAGAATCATCGTCTGAAGAACACTTGGAAGTTATTCAATATCTGTTTATCAGAATGCCTTTGGTTGACAAAAATGAAGGGCTTTTAATGAGATTTATTAACCGACGGGTTCTGGCTGGGCCTTAGGTTACTTACCGAGTTCTGGATACTGTGTTGGCTTAAAGTGGTGTACGTGTGGGGTGTCAGAGGTCCATTTCTGACATTCATAACCTGACTGAGTTGTACTGACTGTTCCACGATAACTGTTACCACTTCTATTATAACAATTATGTTCAGCAGCTGAAAAAAAAAAAAAAAAAAAATCATATATATATATATATATAATAAAGGGATAATCATACATTGAATCAATTAGCAATATTAATGCGATTAATGGTGAAATCTCTTCGCTAATAGACTTAATATAAGCATTAAACTACTAAGAATCCACTGAATGATGCGATCCTTATGTATAAAATTGTTGTCAGATTATCTCTTTATAATATAAAATATATATATGCCTTATATATATATATATATATATATATATATATATATAAAATGACAAAATTAATGATCATTTAATCTTAATTAATGTAATTAAGGCAAACATCTGTCTCAAGTTAATGCTGAAGCTGAGAAGAATGGTTTCTGAAGAGGAGAAAATCACTTAAGTTTCCAGGAATTAGATCTGGCATTTTTTTTTAAAAGTAATAATTTAATATAGTCTTAAGATGAAGTATTGCCATTATTGTTAATTTTTGATGGGTATTTTTCTCTTTGTTGATTTTTTTTATTCTATCTTACATATTTATAAGTCATCCATCCATCCATATATTGAATATTGCTGTCACATATGTTCTTGTACGTCTGCTTTGTATTTGAAGATTCATGATAAAATACAAAGAATCTGCAATGTTGCTGGTCTTGATCTGGCATCCCAGCTCCCAGTTGCATTCACATAACTTACCTATGCCTATTTCATAAATATTTTCATGGTAATTGTTCTGATGAACTCCTCCACACACAGACAAATTTTACATATGAGAACTAGTTAGGACTACATAGAGACTTTGAGGTATTATGGTGACTGTAGTAAGAATGGTAAGTAAGAATGTGTTGTTTTGGTGTAAGGGATACTGTGGTATGTTTGGGCCAATAATCATGGCCAGCTAAGTTTAAGATAAGACACATTGAAGACCAGACTTCCCCTATCTCTCCATTTGGCCTTGTGCCACATTTTGTATTTTTTAAAATAAATATCACTTTCCTCTATGTTACCTAAACTTTATGAATTTAAGTGCAGTACTAGATTGGTGACAAGTTGAAATGGCAAGATACAACTGTAAGTTTTATTCTAACAGTTTCTTCTTTTGGCCCTTCTTGCTTGTAGAAAACTCTTCCAGTTGTTTGCTTTCCACTCAACTTTGATCTTCAAAAATATAAATGCAATGTCAATCATTATCTTCCACCATTTTAATTCTGGTTCTCTTATTGTTCTCTCCTCTTACTGTTTTTTTTTTTTCTCATATTCTCTTACATTCAGTAACCAACTGCATCTCAATTATTAGGAGTTATATAACTCCTCCTAATAATGTATATGTATGTGAAAAGTGTGTGTATATGAATATAGATGAATATGTGTATGTGTGGATATGTGAATATATTTTTAGGTTTTTGTATATATATATATATGTATGTATGTTTGTGTATGTGTATGTATATATATATATGTGTGTGTATATATATATGTATATGTATATATGTGTGTATATGTATATATATGTGTGTATGTATGTGCATGTACACGTATGTCTGGGTGTGTGTGTGTGTACATGCCTAAGTGTATGTACCTACTTGTATATGTTTTTTTTTTTTTTTTTTTTTTTGTGTGTATTAGTATGTGTTTTTGAACATAGAAATATTTGGTCCTTGCGAAATGAGACAATCGTTATATTCATCTTCATATATTTATATTTGATTTTAAATTTTAAGTAAACACAATTTTTATTTTCCTTCATCCATCCCTCTCCCCCCCACCCTTTTCCTTTTTTTTTTTTTTTTTTTTCCTTCCTATCCGAATTGTCTGTGGTGTGTATATGTCACCACAGAAATGTATCTTTATGTATTAGACATCCGTCGACTTTTCTTTCTCTCCTCTTTTAAATCCACCCCACCCACATCTCCAAAAATTCTCTCTGTCACTCATCCTCATACTTACACTTTCTCTAAATTCTGTTTTGATTTCCGGAGTTGTTTTTTCTGTTTTTTTTTGAATTTGTAGGTCTGATGATTTGGATCGTATTTACGATTCCAATGGAATAAATTATGACCATGGAATATTAGTGTTTAAACCTTTTTTATTATATATATATATATATATAAAGTGAACATAGAAGTCAACTTAGAAGCGACAGTCTGTTTCAGGCTATATGCAATCGTGGCCTGACGATTGAATATAGCATGAAACAGACTGTCACCTCTAAGTGTTGACTTCTATGTTCACTTTTATATTTACACATGCTCTATCTCTGATATTGAGCACTTTATTCCATAAATATAGCACACATAAGACTATATTTCTTTATATATATATATATATATATATATATATATATATATATATATATATATATATATATTTGGTTGGATAGATGTGAATTTGTGACCCTGGGTTTCACGCTTTAGCGATCGTCAGACAAATATGTTAGCTCTATCTCTGATATTGAGCGCTTTCTAATAAGTACCGTGCATATATAATATAAATAATTATACATATATATTTATTTATATACTTTTATATATATATATATATATATATATATATATATATATATATATATATATATATATATATATATATATATATATACACACAATTACAGGTTTAATTCTAATTTAATCTAACATTAAAATTAATAAATTGTATTTAGGGTCTGTTTTCATGTTTTTTGAATTATTATATACTTTTATTCTGATTGGTCATCATAGGTTACGTAACAATGATTCCACTATTTAGGGAGTTTGGGTGGTTTTGAACTTTGAAAACTCTTTATTTTGCAACAACATCACTTGACAAGACACCAGAAGTGCTGAAACAAAATGGTTATTTTTTTTAAGTGATGTTATAACATACTTATGTTATAATTTTTGAATAAATATGAATAAAGAAAATGTATAAATCCACTTTCATATGTTTGGGTTTTATTCCAATTCTAATCATTGCTTTTTAAAACAAATATTGCTGAGGGACTCAAAAGCATATACAGTAATAGTAGAGTTTTTTTGTGGACATAAAAACCAATTTACCAATTTTTTTTTATTTCTTTCATCATATTTTCATTTACTTGTATTTACTGTAATATTAGCTTGAATTTTTATGAGATGAAGCATTGTCAACCATTATTAATTTCTGATTAGTATTTCTTTCATCTTAAATTTAAGTTGCTTTTGATTATAACTGTCAGGCTGTCAAGTGTAGCGCCATGAGCAAAGAGCAAAAATACAGGTGGAACTTAGTAACAATTTGCATTGTTTCATCTCGTAAAAGCAGGAGAAAATCAAAATCACATTAAAATTTATAAACATACCTCGGGTTTCATTACGTACACCAATGTCAATACATTTAGCTGCTTCTTTTGTACCTGGTTCTGCCAAATCTTCACATATAGGTAATATCTTTTCTCCTGTAAATAAAAAATAAACAGATAAATAATCTCCAAGAAATATTTATACCACTTTATCTTAAACATAAAACAACATTATTATGTAAGAATACAGCAGACAATTATCTCCCTTTAGTCGAGATAAGTCACATGGGTCATGTGATGTACTGTTTAGTGATGTTACACCATACAGCGATGAAAGCCTCAGTCAATTTCAGTTTGTTTACAGCAGCCAAACCAAAAAGTTGCTTCCTTTAGCTGGTGCCCTCCATGGCCTGGGCAGAGGCTAAATCTGCTTCCCCCAGCAGCTTACAAGTCCATGGTTCTCTTTGGGAATATATCTTTTCAAGGCTATAGAAAGAAACTCTAGCTTGCGTCCTCACTTTGGGAAAATCCAAGACATGCTGTTTTTCCATTCATGGAATATGTATAGTAGATGAATACATTGTTTGAATTTGGATTCCTAAACATGGCTTCTCCAGACACAGGAGTATCTCCATATTATATGCAAGACCTTCCCTATTTGTTTCAAATTACTCTCTGCTTTGCTGTGTAGATATATAGGATATACTGTTTTCCATGTGGGACAAGTTTATATATGTATATATAGTTTTGTGTATGCCTTAGTAATATAAAAGTGTCTCTGAGTACAAAGCATGTTTGTCATCCTTCCTCCTTTCAGTCATTCCATTTCTGAATTTCAGTGTTATTGTACCAGGGATATAATAATGCCCATAATGGGGGAAATATATTTGAAAAAATAAACCATTCTGCCATGGCTCTTTCCCATTATAACTATATAAGTAAATAGGTCATATTGGTTGAATGTTTACTCCATAATACACCCTCCATCCTCCTGTATGGCAGTGAATACTGGACAATATCCTCATAGATGAAGAAGAGATTTGAAGGAACAGAAATGTGGTTGTACAGAAAGATGCTGACAATGCAATGAACTGAGCAATGACAAAATTTTAGAGAAAATGGAAACAAAAAAGACACTTATAATTAGGAAGAGACAATTGAAATTTCTAAGGCACATAATGAGGAAAGAGGGCTTGGAAAATTTGATACTCACAGGAGAGATTGAAAGTAAGAAGGATAGATGTATACAGTGCATAATCTACCTAATGAGCTTGTGTAAATGGATGGCAGTACAGGGTTTATGAGAGATAGCAGAAAGACATAATTTACTAAGAGCTACAAAGGACAGGAAATTATGGAGAGCCATGATCGTCAACATCTTGAAGGGACATGGCACATAGAAGATGGATTGTTGTTCTCTTAACAATGAAGTTTGTTCTTTCAGTGTATTAATATATCTACAATCATAATTTAAACTGAATTGCTGTGACAACTTTTGAAATATGAGTGTCTTTGTGGTCCTCTTCATTAAAATGATATTAATCTCAGCCCTGACACAAGCAGATTCACTGCTAATAAAACATTCAGGCACAGCACTTTATTCATATCATTCTAATTTTTCTTCCATAAGTTACTAAGTTAGATAACACATGCATTATGCTCTGCCATTGCCTCAGACAAATAACAGATCATTCCAGAAGAAAACCATATACTGGAGACATTATTTAGTTTTAGTGAGAAAAAAAAAAATAAGGAAAAAAAAAATGAAGAGAAGACAGAAGAGGTTATAATGCTTTTATACTTTTAACGTCTGCTTCAGTGAAATGGAAGTCCTTGTCAGTTTTGGATCTTTTCACTAGTGCCCTTGTGAGAGAAAGTCTGATGTCATGGAGGCTGAAACTTTCTATGACATCAGAATAGACTGAGGAAGCATTCTGGTGTGTAATATCTGCATAAAAAATGCATGTAATAATAATAATAATAATAATAATAATAATGAATGCTTACTCATTTCTACTAAAGTATCTAGCTAATCCCTGTTGCAGACACCAGCTTAGGCACATTTGTGTTTATTCAAAACATAATGTAATACTCACCTATAAGTGGATGCACTTTAGCAAGCTTGTATTCCATCCTGCAAATGTCTTCTCGTAGGATCTTGCATTCATCTTTACAGAGCAGGCGTGGTTTAGGGACACTACTCGTAGTGTCACATAGGGGGAAAGCGTGATAGCAGAGGGACAAAATGGCAAATTTGTGACAGTTTGGGGAAAGGTCATTTGATTGGCCAATCATGGTCACAGCAACTGAAAAGTAAAATTTCAAAAATTAAAATTAAAAAAGATGTTAGAAATTAGAAGTAAAGAGAAAACAGTATAGAAGCATTTTATTTATTAATATATGTGTATGTATGTACAAGTAATATATATATATATATATATAATATATATATATAATATATATATATATCTCATAATAACTCGGAGTCTAGAATAAGAATCCTCAACAGAATACAGAAAGCATTGGATGGCTGTTTCGTTCCTTTTTGGGATGCTGATGTGTTCCTAAAAGGACAAAACAGCCATCCAGTTTTTACTGCATTCTGTTTAGAATTCTTGTTCTAGACTCAATGAATTATTTAAATCACCAAAGATTTCTATCAGTGGTAAACCTATTCATGATCCAGCTTCTAAGGCTCTGGATGGAGCAGCTTGGTGAAAGAAGACACTGCTCTTGGGGCCAGTTCCAGTGGATTATGTATGCTTGGATGAGTATTACCACTGGAGTTAGGAGTACATGTGCTATATTGAGTCTAGTTAGGTTTCCTCTTCATTACTGAGGCCTGTTGGCTCATTGATATTTTGTTTGCGTCGTATCTTAACGATCCGTGTTCGATCATAGATAGTAAATGCACACTGCTGATGAGTACCAAAGTTAGCACTTTCTGTATTCTGTTTGCGATTATTATTGCAGACGTGGTGAATTATCATGAGAAAGTATCCTATTGAAAATAAGTAGACAGAACATGTCTAAATTATTGAATGAAACATCTCTCTCTCTCTCCCTAATATATATATATATATATATATAAAGGCTAATTCTCTTTTGCAGTGACTCAGTAAGTATTAAAAATTGATTGATTGCAAGTTAAAATTTTCTTTTACATTTTACTAAAGTTCACCTAATAGTCGCTCAAGGCAGTGGGTTAGTGAATGAGATTCGGTTTGATTTGGTTTATTTAGTTTATCTACATATTAACCTCGAAGGGTTATTTGATGCTGACAAGATTTTTCTGATATGTTCATATGAATAGAATATGTATTCTTTATAAGAAATCATTTTGTAGATCAGTTTTCATAGACACATTTTATAAAGAGGAATTTTGTCGAGAGTCAAATGTATTGCTGGTTATAATTTTCTTCAAAAATATATTGCTGGAAATAATTTTTCCTTCCAAAATAGGCTAAAAAAACCATGCATGTAAACAGATTTAGTAACCTGTTCTTTTTTGTTTTTAATATTATCCTGTAGAGCCCAATTTCTTTAATGAAAATTTATCTTACTTGTATTGATATTTTCAAAAAGATCCTTTTTAATTATCCAGTTTGTAGAGTTTGATTCAGGTTTGCTTGAAGTTACAGCAATTTAGTAGAATGTGTTTGACTGCATATGGTTCCTAGCATGGGGCACATACTGGTAGTTCCTCATTTTTACTGAATAAGGTGTGTGATACAAATTGAAGAGGAGGTGGTAGATAGTGAATGATCATGAGAAATGTGATCAATTTAAAATAAATCAGTAGTTTTAATGTTTAAAACTGATCTGTTTCAAGTGATTGAAAATGATTCGAGTCATATTTGATTGGTTTGGTTCATTTTGTTTTATGGCATATCAACCTCAATGTCACTTCTGGGTCTTGACTTCACTGTCCACTTTAAAGTTTACATATGCTCTATCTTTGATATTGAGCACTTTATGCCATAAATATAGCATACCTTAAATATATATATATATATATATATATATATATATATATATATAATGCATGTTTCATTAAATAATATAGACAAATTTTGTCTATTTTATGTAAATTCTTTTCATATCGTCTGATAAACTTAATAGCATTATCATTAAAAGAAGAAAGAAAATCACAATATTGATGCATATTTTTTAATCCTATCTAAGCTTTCGGCTTACATAAGCCATTATCAAAGGTGGCAATTACATTTCAATATATTAAACAATACACGGACAAAACAATAATGATAGTCTGTTTTTATTTACATGGAAGATTTTCAAGCAATGACAAACTCGTGCATATGAGACGTTGGAAATGAAAATCACACCGCAGCTCATGACGTCACACATGACCATGCTAGAGAGAAAACGAGAAGAATTAAGTATGGGAAGCCGATGATATAAACCAATGGCTTCTGTTATCAATTATAAGCATTTAAGAATATTTGTGGAGATTTCATAGATTTTTTTTTGGTTCAGGTTATGTTTCAACTGTTTTATGTATATAGCTTCAAGAATTTTTAGTTTTTGTTTATTGCTTTCATGTTTAAGTATAGTTGTGTTTTCATTTCCAGCTTCTCATATTGACTTATATCTTATATATCCAAGTTAAAAAAAGATTAAGATATTCCACAAATCATTCACTGAATATAATCAACTCAATTTTCTAGAAACAAACATTATTAGTTTAAAAGATTACACATTATTATTATTCTACATTACAAACTTTCCTTATTTTTTTTTTTAAATATGTTTATTTTCCAATGAAGAAAGAAACTACTTCAAGTCTTACCAGTGTAAGCTTTTTCAATCTCCACCAAATCATTCTTATCTGATACGTAGATACTTTTATTAGCCAAGAATTTGGCACAGGGGATTCCTTGGAAAAGCAGGCAGGATCCTTTACCACGGCTTGAATAAAAAAAAAAATAAAGATTAATTATAAAGAGCAGTGCAAGAGGATGTCAGCTCAGTTGAGGAAGTTGGCTGTTGTAAGTTCAAACCTCTGCAAGATTAGATAACAGATGGGAACAATAAGCTTGTGTGTGTGGTGGTGGGGGGTGTGAAATGAGGGTTTATTCAAGATCCCCTTAAAATTATTGGCTTTTGCAGACCAGCTGCAATGTTAGACTAAAAAACAACAAAGATGCTATTTGGGAAGCACCTTGTCTTAGAAACTCGGACAAAAAGTGAAGGGTTTAATTATTAAAATTAAAGGGTTTAATTATTAAAATTGAAGGGTTTAATAAAATTCTATATGAGTAGAATAATGTATATCAATGTAGAAAATGAATTCAGCAAGCTGAGTTCAAATTCCAGGCTAATCTGTTGCAGTCACTTTTTCATGCAAAAAGCACTGACATGATTGGGAAAGACATGAATCTGTTAATACCTGCCCAGCTAGGAGTAAAATATCAAAGTAAACAGGGATCTTTAGCCTTGACTGACAGCCATTCTAAGAGCAGAAAAATTCAGCAGGTAGCCAAGATATTATGACAATAATTCACAGATAAAGAAAAGGAATCTCAGGAGAGTTACAATTACTGATGTCCTCAAGGGGTATAGATGCCTCCACCTCAAAAATCATTAAAAAAGATAAAAGAAAGAAAAAAACATCAAGGCACAATTTTGGAACTTCCTGATAATGTGGATTTTGTTAATAGCCAACAAGGGTCATCAAGTTGAAGTTTTAAGGAAACAGCATTATTTTCAATGGCTGTATTAAAAGGTCAAAGTTGAAGTTTAAGAAACAACTTCATTTCCTTTCCTGGGAAAAGTGTAAATTCATTTCTTTTATTCTCCAGCTCTGAGTAAATTAGCAAGGACCTTCTCATTTTAGATGATAACAATTTGAAGAAGATAACTAAGGATTCAAACCAGGTCCCAAACCTGGGAAAAGTGAGAGGTTTGAGTAAGGTGCTGACAAATCCACCATGGAACCCTCCACCCCCCCAAAAAAAACACTTTTTCCTGCAACAGTATCACCCATGTTGAATTTGCAGTTCTGTGCTCCACAAAAGGACTATCAGGAATCGTTAATAAAATAAATCTCTATATTTGCTTAGGAATTCTTTTCACCTATTGTCTGTAGTTCCTGTCATAAAATAATGGTTAGTGGGTTGTTGATGAATGATTTTTTTTAAGTGTTACAAAATCAGAATAGCTGATCATGTGTATTGTGAGAGAGGAAAACAAATTAACTTTTATGGGAAAAAAAGCCAAGTAAAATAGAATGAGAAAACTTTAGTGAAGAAAAAGGACAATAAAAAGAACAGGGTTCATGAAGGTTGAAGATGGCGATTAGCATTGAATTTAAATTTTTGAAAATTGTATTTGGCAGGGAAGCAAGAAACCAGAAGACTTCTGCATTATTCCATTTTTTGCATGAAAAACTCTTAGAATAAAACACATAGCTGCAACTAGCTGGTTCAACAGTAAAACAATGAGACCTAGTTGCCAATCTAGTAGCACAATTGAATTCATGCAGTCAAGGCACCAAGGGGGGGAAAGCTCATCAGAACACTTGCCATTGAAAATTCAGTATATCTAGAAAGGAAATGCAGAATTAAATGCATTTATATTAAAATTATGTTAATTTTTTATTAAATTAATTATTATATTCAAAGTATAATCTTACCTTTCTTCTGAGCTAGATCCAGTAGGCATTGATGGAGTTTGTTTTCCAGAAAGTTCTGTAAAAAAAAAAAAAAAACTTATTTAATAAAACTATCTCTGATGGAAGATTGAATTTTTGTAATTGTAAATATTACTATTGTTGATATATAAAATTATTATTATATATATCTCTTATAACATATATATATATAGAGAGAGAGAGGATAAATATAAAATTTGTCACTAAGCTGATTGATGTAATATTCAGTATCTCAATTCCAGATTTTCATAGATGAACATTCCAGAAATAGCTCTGTGCACTTGTCAGGATATACCAGAAATTTACTGCTCATTTTCGTTATTTTTATATGGAGTTAAAAACAATTTATGCACGTTTTATTGGTGTAAGTTGATTTTTTTTCTTTTATTGTGTGTGTGTATATATGAGATAATTTTCATTTAACATTAATATGAAAATGAAGAAGAATGTAAACCATTTAAAAAGTTAAATGTGAAAATTTTACTTGCCTGGAAGAAGATCAGTCATAGTCTTTTTGGAAGAATATTCTACAAAATTTAAAGAAAAAAGTTTTAAATATTCAAAAGGATAACAGCTAAATGCGGAATTATTTTGTTAGCCATTAATAATTTTTAACCATTAATTTTTTACCATTAATTTTAACTTTTAATAATTTCTTAACCATTAAACTTAACTATTAATAATTTTTTAACCATTAAATAATTGCAATTTTTAACTTGTGACAATCATTTCATCAGATATTTCCTAAAGTCTTCCTTAAAACCAAATTTGAAGATTTTGGTTAAAAAAAAAAAAAAATAGTAAAAAATCATATAATTCTGTTTATTATTTTGATAATTAGCAAATGCATTACTCCAGACTACTGCCTCAGATAAATAATGGATCATTCCATTTTTATTGTGAGGAAAGAAAGAAAGATGGTAGAAAAAGATACATCAGAAATGCCATTTGGTTTTAATGAGAAAAAGAAAGCATGCATAAAATAAAAATAATTATAATAATAATATGATGATGATACATTAACACCAAACAGCGTCTCTAATATATCTTTTTCTTCCCTCAGTCAAAATGGAATAATCCATTATTTATCTAAAGTAATAGCTGGGTATAATGAACACACTAGCTAATGAATAAAAAAACAGAATTATATATTTTTAATAAATTACGTTTTTTGTTTTTTTTTTAAAATTAATTTAGGAAATTAAAAAACAAATATTAATGCAAACTGAAAAATAATTTTTAAAAGCATTTTTAAGCATTTTAATTTAGAATAATTTAGGCAAAAAACAAAATTATGTGAAATTTCTAAATTTGACAATTTTTTAAAAATTTAATTAAAAAAAATTTAAATGTAAATATGCTGTGATTCATCATTTTATGCAACTAATGGTTTCAATAAAGGTCAATGGCAGTTGCAAGTAGGACATTATACATGGTGTATACATTATACATGGTGTAGCAGAAATACCTCTTACATATACCTCCCAGAAATACCTTCCACATAATGCTTAGAGAGGAAGGCCCCGAAACGGTGCACATTCTCTCCTGATGACCCCAGTTTAAAATTCGAGAGAAACACGTCAAATTCAGTGAAGTCATATGCCATAGTGAAGCTCGGTGGAAGTGTCATTGGCATGAGGAGCATTACACATTCAGCTCGCTTCAGGTGAGTTTCAGTTACTTTCCAGTAATTTCCTTCTTCAATGGTGTTTTCATCTAGCTATTGTCTAACCATTATGTGGGAGGTATTTCTGTATAAAGCAATCTCCAGAGTCACTGAGAGTTGTCACAAGGATCAGTTACTGAAAGTATCCTTTGACAGTGAGAGTCCACATGATTTACCATAAAGTGATAACAGTTTTGGTGAAGAGGAATTCAACAGGTGTAAAATTCATTACACTTCCAATAGAACAATAGTGGAAGACAACAAAGCTTTAAAGAAACAGGAATTATTGTTTTGCTTACCATCCTTGACTTTCAGTTTTCCAGTTGTATTCTTTTGACCAAAATTATTGTAGGCAATGCAGGTGTACATTCCTGAATCCATTGGATCAGCATTTAGGATCTTCAGCCTAGCAAATAAAAAAAAAAAAAGGAAAAAAGGTAATCCTGATAATTGAATTCTGAATTTATATTTTATAAAATTGGAAATAAGAACGAACTTGTAATTGATTCATATATTTTAATAAATTATTAAATGTTTATAAATTTATCAATAAAAAATAGTTTTCATATTTATTTCTTTATAAATTGGTAAATAAATTATAAATATTGCATTGAGTTTTAAATCGTATCAATTTTTAGCATGTTGCCAATATAACATTATTATTGTAAATAAACAACCTAATAGTGTTTAATATTTTTCTTGTAAATTCTCAAGAACAAAAAATAAATGTATAAATTTACTTTCATCATATTAGGCTTTTGTTACATCATTTAGGTTTTTATTACAATCTTAATCATTGCTTTTAAAAACAATGAACATAGCTGAGGAGTGAAGGTAGTTAAAATAATAGTGGTGTCAGAGGAAAAACTGTCCTTTTGTTATAGTGGAACACACCTATTCTATAGTTAATAGACTCTCCCACCTATAATAAGTAGGAGTAGTAGTAGCAGTCGCTCAGTGAGTTGGTCAGTCACTCGATGTTAGTCGGATATTAAAGTATCAGCAACCACAACTAGATTACTGCATCATTACCTATTATATCAAGTTTCTAACGTTTTGTACGTCGAACCTATTTTAGGACCGACTTAGTACAAATACAAGCCTCCACTGTGAAACCACTATATAACACCTTTTGATACACTGTGCATGCATGAAGATTCGAATTTACCACTGTTTTTTTCATTATAAGTATTGTAAGAATCCTATTTACTATATTTGATGTCATCAAAGACACATCCTTTTACATTTAATATCATAATATCATTGTTTAATATTTGAACATAGTATAGGCTATTTTGGGAATAGATTTGTCCAATGCTGCAAGGTACTAAAACCCCAAAACATTAACCTAAGACCTATCATCATGTTCTAAAATAATCTTGTCAGATCTAAACTGTTATATAGATGTCATGTACAGTGTCCAACTTGTTCAGAAATGTCTAAACTCTATACAACTGCTTTTTCAGATCAGTTCATTTGAATAAAACTCGTAGATCTTCGAGGACCATCTTTCTTTGAATAACACAGACAGACACTACAGAGAAACAAAGAAACCACAGAATTTGAAGACCTTCAACAACAGAAACAATTAAAAGGGATAGCACATTTAACACATGTAGAGAATAATGGCATATTCAAGATGTTGACACCTCACACCAAACAAGAGATTAGGTAGGAGCCCCCCTCCCATCAAAATTGAAATAAGTATTATCAGTTGACTTGAGAAGACTATTTTCCCGAGAAATGGTTCTGAGAGAAAGACTTTGAATTTCAAATGGTAAAAGTACTGTTTGGTTAATGAATGCCAATTGTTTCCATATAAAGAAACAATTAATCCACTTCTTCTCAACCCCCCCCCCCAGCTGTGGGTTAACCTTTAGCACTCTGCATTATTAATATCACTTCCCTTTCCACTGCATTCTTTTTCAAAGCCTCCCAATTGCAGTATCGTTATTGTTAATCTCACTCAAATGTGTTTTCTGTTGCCATAGTAGGATATGACAACACAATTATGAAATTCACACTATTGTTCAATGATCAGAGTCGCCTTCAGTGGCATGATATAACTTTGTACAGCAAATGAAATCATACAGTGTGATAAAGGTTAATTTGCATGACTTGTGTATCAGTACATTATTATTGTTGCCAAAAAAATTTCTTACACTTTAAAAATATTTTTTGGCTTTAGATAACCTGTAAAAAGTTGATAAGCTATAAAAAACAGTATCTGTCTATACTTCTGAGATGAGGTATTATGTACACTATTTACATTATTTGGACTATTGTCCTCATCTTTGTTGCCATATTTATTACGTTTCGGCTGTTGTACGCTCCAGCCTTCTTCCTCAAGGACACATGGCACAGTGGATAAAGGCATGGGTTAGATCCACTGACACGACCAAAAGAGTGTGAGTTCAATACCCAGTTAAAGCAGTGGAGAACTTGGAGAGGGAAATTAACAGGCGATAACTGACATCCATTAAAAAAACATGGCACGTAGAACTAGAACAGTCTATCCCAGTGAGCAAAATAAAGGGTTCAGTTCGACATTCCAACCACCTGAAAAAGGCCGAAGCATATAACGGCTGAAACTTTGTAATAAATATGTCGACAAAGATGAGGACAATAGTCTGAATAATGTAAATACTGTAAAAAACAAATTGATCAATACTTTGAATCTGAAAATCTTAAGAGCTACAGATTCCTGTCCATTTCCTTGTCTACCTCCATTTATGGTACATGTAGTAGCATTTTGTAATCCACAAAATTCCAAATTCTGAATAATGTGTAATCATTAGCTTTGGATAAGAAACTATGAATTTGTAAATATCAGTGTGTCTGTTGTATTGTGATGGTTAATAAGTCTATCTCACAAATCATTTCTAAACTACTGAGTTCAATCCTCAGTGGGTGCTCCATATATGCTATACTATAATCCTGATCATGTGTCCCTCCCGTAACCCATTAAAGTCATATAGGCACCATATGTACTGCTTCTGTGGCAGTGGTGGTGTGTCTTAGACAAGTTAGCCTGATGGATCTCAACCATCTCCAAGTTGGTTTGAATTCAGAGTTTTCCTTCTCTCAGGCTGGTTACCAACCAAGTCTATAAGACCCAGGCTGACCTGTTATTCAACCCATAGTTGGGGGGGGAGAAGAGATGGATTTGAAGAAGAGACTTGAAACAGCAGAAATGTAGTTCTACAGAAGGATGCTGAGAATGCCATGGACTGAACATGTGTGCAACAACAAAGTTTTAGAGAAAATGGAAACAAAAAGGAAACTTATACTTATCATCAGGAAGAGAGAACTGAAGAACACAATGAGGAAAGAAGGCTTGAAAACTTTGAAACTCACAAGACAGATTGAAGGCATGAGGGATAGAGAAAAAAATAGAAGTCGACTGTTAATACTTATTTCAATTTTGATTGGGTGGGGTCCTACCTAATCTCTTGTTTGAAGTAGTGTGAGATGTCAAAATCTTGAATATTCCATTATTCTCTCTTGTATTTCCAAGGGTATTTGCACATAAATGAATGTAACGAACTTGACTGTAATTTGAACACAGCTCATCAATTTCTAATTCCAAGCTGTTATCCATTACACCACCCGCACATCCAAAATACTAAAATATGTTTAATAAATATCAAGATCTCTGAACAATAAAATCCTGACCTCTACAAATCAAGGGTTAATCATACTTTCTTTCTTATTTTCACTTCCTGTCAATATTCATATCATACACCTTCTTCATCATTACCATTTTAACAGCAACTCTACTTTGAATGGCTATCAAGCCTTGTAAATTTAGCATATATAAAATGTATATGCAGATAATATAACAGTTAACAGTGAATCAAGTTCAAATTTGAAATATCTCTTTTTGATTATCCTTCAAATAATTTGTTGAATATCTGAAGTTATACAATTCTAACATCGAAACCTATTTTTTTTCTTCTTAGAAATGTAAGAAAGGGCTAAAAATATACTTGTTTTTCATTTTCCCTATACTGAAAACAGTTTTCTTCCATGGATTTGTTTCTTTTTGGTTAAAAATAATAAAAAAAAAAAAAAATAAAAACCAAAATTAATTTTTAGCTGTCAGATCCAAGTTTATATTAATTAAACATTTCAAAGTGTTAATTTTAAATATTTTGTTGTTTTTTGAGTTTGCAATAATTGGGACCCCGAACCAAATATTCTTTGCATTTTTCTGGAAAACAAAAACGTCAAAATGAAACCGTTGCCCTTTTCACAGTAAACACTGTATAAGACTTAACGGAGTAATTTCATACTAAATTACTGAGAAAAGAACATCTGGTGCAAAAGAGGCTAAAATTATTTTAAGGCCAGGCACTATACAGAGTAATGGTATTGGCAAAGCGTGCAGGGTGAAAAATAATGAAGATCTAACATTTTGATTGAAGACGTTTTTTCAATTTAAATTTCTAAAATAATTTAAATTTCTAAAATAACTTAAAAAGTGTGTTCCTAAATAAAGTTTCTTTTTTTCTGTTTTTTTACAAAAGTTTGAAATATAAATTAAAAAAAAAAAAGAAGGAAATTCTTCTCTTCTTGCTGTGTCCCCTCAGTACGTAAGGCGTTTATGGCTCTCCACGACTTCCTTTCCCTTGTAACTCTTAATAAACTTTATCCATGTTATTCCTCTTAAGTCCTGTTCCACCATCCATTTACTCAAGCTCACTATGTTATGCATTTTTTTTTCTCTCTCCCTCTTGCCTTATTATGCATATGCCTAGCATTAGGTCATATTCTTCTTCTATGTGCTGTGTCCCTTCAGAAGGTTGGCAATCATGGCTCTCCACAATTTCATCTCCTATGTAGCTCTCAGTAAATTTTGTCTTTATTATCTCTCCTGAACACTGTTTTATTTACACAAGCTTGCTAGGTAGGTTATATGTTTTTTTTTCTCTATCCCTCATGCCTTCAATCTGTCTTATGAGTTTCAAAGTTTTCAAGCCTTCTTTCCTCATTATGTGCTCTTCAGCTCTCTCTTCCTGATAAGTATAAGTGTCCTTTTTGTTTCCATTTTCTCTAAAACTTTGTTGTTGCTCACATGATAACTCAATGCCATTCTCAGCATCCTTCTGTAGAACTACATTTCTGCTGTTTCAAGTCTCTTCTTCAACTGTGAGGAGATTATCAAGCAGTCACTGCCATATTAGAGGACTGATCTTGTTTTTTCCTATTATAAGATGAAGCACAGTCAACTATTTTTAATTTTTTGACAGTTATTTCATCATAATTCAGTCGCTTTTAAATACATTTACACGATTTTTTCATAAGCAAACATACTCAAATTTGACTAAATTTCAAGCACCTCCACTATTGATATCGGTGTTTTTCCATTATAATATATATATATATAAAATCCCAAGAGGATAGAATCCAGGTAGAACTCAATGTCCAGGACAGAGTAAGAATATAGTATAAGAGGTTCAAACACTAACATTCCATGGTTATAATTAGTTACATTGGAATCGTAATCACAATACAAATCATCAGACCAACAAATTCAAAAAGAAGTCGGAAAATTTTCCGATTTGATTTTGAATTGTGATTACAATTCCAATGTAATACATTATAACCGTGGAATATTAGTGCTTGAGCCTCTTATGTTAAAAACTAAAACGAATAAAGTTAGGTGCTATACAGAGGCAGGTAATGGCTGACCACTTGTATCCGAGTATGATCGTTCCAGACACAATTATTGATAAAGAATTTCATGTACCCATTTTCACTCACAAGGCTTGAGTCAACCTATGACATGGTTTTCAGGTTGATAACATTAGAAATTTACCTTCCTGGCAAATCAACCATGGTAATAATCAAAACCAGCTCTCACGGTCAGAAAGTGAATTGTGTAACCACTCACCCACTTCCATATAGAGTAATGGTGTTGATAAAGCATGCTGAGTGAAAAATAACGAAGATATGTTTTGCTTAAAGATTTTTTTTTTAAATTTTCTACTTTCTAAAATAAATGAACTTAAAAAGACACCAAGTAAAATAGTTTTTTCTTAAAGATTTTTTTGCAAATATCAATTTTTAAAAGTTTGAAATTCAATATAAATTGAAAAAAATCGTCTTTTTTCTTATTAGGTGAAGCATGCTTAAATATTAATTTTTTGACAGTTATTTCATTATAATTTCAGTTGCTTTTAAATACATCAACACGATTTTTTTTCCATAAGCAAGTGTACTCAAATGTTTTGGCTTTGTAACAATTTGTGATAATTGGTGAAACTACTCCTAATACAGAGTATTCTACAGGGTGGTCCGAAAGTCGTGTCACACCTATATAATATAATTTTCTATTTCAGATGGCTGACACGAAAATGATGGTCTTCATACAGACCCTCTCACTGTGTGTCAGTGTCAATGAAAGTAAATAAACTGAATCCAGTACATGTGCTTTGTATTACTTCTATTGTACTCATTACATTTTGGTAGGGTGTGATAAGACTTTTGAACCACCCTGTATGTTCAATTTCCTTATTTCTTATATTAAATTTGCTATAACTTGGTACAGCCAAAGATTTGCTAAAAATTTAAGCATGACAAGATGAAAAATGTCCCAAACTTAATAAAAACAAAGTTTTATTATCAAAATATTCATGTTATTATAAAGAGGGAAGATGAAAGGATTTTTTGATTATTAAATTATATTTTTTTAATCCTTTTTAGAACCTTCAAAATTTTAATCCGTTTCAGAACATTCAAAATTTTGCTTAATTTTTTTTTCTCTTGCATCAGCAACGACCCATAAATTAGTATAGTGAGTCTTTTTTGCAGTGGTAAACACACTGATTTTGAAATTCTTGCAAAAATCAAAAGAATTGTTGGATTTTAATGAAATATTCAAGACTTATTTATAAGTTAATGAAATTATTTTAGAAATTTTTCTTTCTAGGAAATATTTTTTATTTTTACATCAGTTTCCCCACACTTATTTAATTTTAAGAAATTTTGAGAATTTAAATTTTATAAAGCTTAATGCTTATATTAGTTAGAGGTTTCCTCAATTTCTTTTTGTAAAACATTTACAAAAAATTATATTTTTTAATCCTTATTAGAACCTTAAAAATTTTGGTTAAATATTTTTTTGCTTTCTTTCATTAGCAGGTGACCATAAATTAATATTGGAAATTTTAGGCTCAAACACTAACATTCCATGGTTATAATTAGTTACATTGGAATCGTAATCACAATACAAATCATCATCTTTTTGCAGCAAAAAACACATTAATTTGACAATCCTTACAAAAATCAAATAATTGTCGGATACCTATTTTCCTGGAAAATTGTTTGAAGGGAAAGATTTTATAAATTTCAATTAACAGTAGCACTGGCTCTTCGGTCAATGAATGTTAAATGTTTCCTTATAAGGAAACAACTAATATTACCATAATTATTTGTGATTTTGTAGCGTCAGTCTGTAGAGTATAATAATGATAATTCCTTATTTCAGAAAGTCTTGTCAAATATAGGGAAATTTAAATTTAACATATTTCCATCAGAAATTACAGCACTTATAAAAAAGGAAGTCTTTTCTACTAACGCAACACCTGTAGATATTATAGGAATAAAGAAACTTTCTTTTGAATATCTCAAAAATATTACATTGTGTAATGTCATAAAATGCTCCGGTAACTTTGATTTGTTCTGGAAAATTCTCACACTTATACAAAAAAAGTAAAAAAGAAACAAAGAGAATGGCAAAAAACCCCCCAAAAAACAAAAAGTTATAGTGAGAAGCAGAAATAATCACCAAGAATACTGCCAATATCTATTTTCATATCAAACGTCAAGGAACAAGGCAGATGGTGGTTGGCCTAAAAATTCTCCCTTCAATAAAAAAAAAAATAATCTTTGAATGATTTTTCTTTCTGTCATTAATAGACAATGGAATCTTTCTCTTTCTTTGAGTAAGAAAGGAATTTTCTTTTTCACCTTCTTCCTATCATCGTTTGATATTTTAAGGTCCCCTTCCTTCCCCGCCGACAGAGGCATCTTTTTTTAGTTAAGAATTGGATTTATTTTTTGACAATTCGAAAATGTGCACTGTCTTTTTCCCCACTCTTATTTGCATTGTATGGTTTTTGCTATCCTCATTGTTCGGTGTTGTTATTTACTGACTATAAACAGCAGAAGAAAAATTATTTTTTTTCAACAAGTCTTACTGTCATTTTATCAGTTTCTTTACTGATCCGAAGTGAAAGCCAAAATAAAATTTCCCCATTAAATTTATCTGCTAGGACATTTATTTCATATTTTGGTGTTTATTTCACATCACCATGATTTCAGTCATTTGGCATTTTCTGTGATCCAGTAGAGGCCTGGTCCTTAGTGACTAGATTAAAAAGGTTGTTCTGTATATTAAATATATGAAAACTTGAATTCACTCTTAACAGTTGGGTATATGGAACTGGATCATATAATTATCTGAATTTTGATTTGAGATATTCACTGTATAATGACTAATCTACATGATTAATAATTAAAAGTGAATTAAATGTCAACAACATTCTGGATAATCCTTATCCAGTGGGATTATCCACATATATTGAAATCTGTTGTGCTTTATAGATATAGCATCTGCATGCCCATCTTTGTAAATTAACAGGTGGCTGAGTTTCAAATTCAGAGTTGCTGTTCACCGAGACTAGTTGGGAGCTATGTGAAAGAGCCCAGTCTGCCATGCTATTTAACCCATAGGTTGGGGATGTATAGCAGACAGAAAGAAAAGTACTGTTGTGAGGTAAGAGAAGTATAACTAGCAGGATGGTGTACGTATGGAAATATTTTCTTTTTTTATTCTTGTGCTTCAGCTTTAGAAGAGAATGGACAAGATTAAATTGTCACACTTAAAACTATATATATATATATATATATATATATATATATATATATATATATATATATATATATATATATATATATATAGAGAGAGAGAGAAAAAGTGAGGTCATTAGATGTATTCATTACTGAGCCATAAAATCTCACGATAAAAGACTCAAAAACATAACAGACATTTTGCACGTATACTTTCTTGAGTATTTTCCACAGCAATCATTTTTGGAACACTTTTTAGTTTGCCAATTTATTTCCAGAAACACTTATTTGCTTGTGACTTATTTGTCTTTTTTATTCCTTCATACAGATTTCTTATCCTACTTTAGTGTCTCATATATATATATATATATATATATACACACACACTCAAACATGCGTACATATATATATACGCTCAAACATACATACGTATACACACACACATATATATATATATATAAAGACACACTCAAACATACATACACCCACATACATACATATATATATATATATATATATATATGTGTGTTAGCTCTATCTCTGATACTGAGCGCTTTCTAATAAGTACCGCACATATAATATATAAATAATTATACTTATATTTATTTATATACACTTTTCACACACACACACACACACACACACATATATACCCCTTGCGTGCTAGTGGCACTCCCGCCTTGCCTTCGGTGAAATGCTTAAAAAAAATAAATAAATTATACAAATCTTTCTATCGCAGAAAGAATAAATCGCATACATGGAAATTCTTCTGATGATTTCATGCGATGGAAATATAAACAGTAGTGGAATTAGCATCCTCATTGTCCTCATCTTTGTCGCCATATTTATTACAACGTTTCGGCCGTTGTACACTCCGTCCTTCTTCAGGTGGTTGGAATGTCGAACTTAACCCTTTATTTCGCTCACAGGGGTAGACTGTTCCTCAATGACACAGTGGATAAAGGCGTTGGTTAAATTCAGTGACAGGACCCAAAGAGTGTGAGTTCAATACCCGGTTAAGGCAGTGGAGAACTTTCAGAGGGAAATTAACAGGAGATAACTGATAACTGACATCTATTAAAATATGACACGTGGAACTAGAACAGATTACCCCAGTAGAAATAAAGGGTTCAGTTCGACATTCCAACCACATGAAGAAGGCCGGAGCGTACAACGGCCGAAACGTTGTAATAAATATGGCGACAAAAATGAAGACAATAGTCCGAACGAATAATGTAAATAATGTACATGATACCTCATCTCAGAAATATAGACAGATATAGTAGAGCCCATTTTAGTATGTATGTTTACAGTAACACGTCTCTCTTAGTTTTCTGTCAAGTTAAAGGAAGCAAGTTAAAAGTTACGAAAACTTTTTTTTGTATAAAAAGATGATTTACAAAGCAGTTTAGTCTTGAATTAGAGTCGAAATTGAACCCCGATCAATGGCGCTTGAATAGAAGACGCAATTATCTCTACCATCATGTACGCGAAAAGCCGAGAAGAATCTAATGAAAAAGAGTTAAGTCACAAACCTTGATCCATAATTCGTTTCACGAACTTTGTAACGCTTATCTAGAGGCAATGGTTGATCGTCTTTAGTCCAGTTATATTTGGGGACAGGTTTACCGGTAATCTCGCATTCCATACGAACTGTGTCTCCTTTGTAGGCAACTGTATCTTCCATTACCTCATTGACTTCAACAAAGCCATCTGTAAAGAAAATTTGAATAAATAATTAACAGATATCTTAATAAGTATAACAATATATTGTGAGAGAGAGAGGGTGAGAGAGTGTGAGAGAGAGTGTGAGAGAGTATGAGAGAGAGTGTGAGAGAGAGAGAGAGAGAGTGTGAGAGAGAGAAAGAACTCTTTTAGTTAAACTTTGGTTAAATGCGTCGGGTTTTGGTCGATATTTAAAGATATCCTGGCAAACCATTAATAGACTTGTGAGTAGTAAGGTAAGTGAGATTTATATGTTAAGTGGAAACTGGGGTCAATACACTCCGTTCAAAAGAACCTAGTGAGGATCGAACTCAATACTTATGATCAATCTGATTAGCCTTGTTAACAACAGCACGGCAAGAAGACGCTTTGAGCAGCTGCGTTTTGACACGCAGAAATACGGATCTGCGATACTGGCCCGTTAACCCTTACCATAAGCGGAGTTTTCAACTGTTACCAGTTTGTCACCGAATCGTATTAAATTTGTACTCGTCCCTACCTTAGTTAGTTCGCAGCACCGTTGCGTCCTGCCAATACGTCGTAAATAATAGATTATTTCGCGTGGAAAGACAAAAATCATAAAAAGGGGAGATACTTGGTTTCAGTGAAAAAAAGAAATAATTACTAAATAACACTAATTGTCTAACGTCTCCTGCTAATACCTAATAAATAATTGGACTATTACGTTTTGATCGCGTGAGAAGACAAAATACATATAAAAAACACTACTTGGTTTCAGTGAGAGAAAGAAAGAAAAAAATAAATGTGTTTAACGTCTGTTTCAGTGAAATGGAAAAGTTGTCAATTTCAAATCTTTTCAATTGTACCCCCTTACTTCTTAAAATAACGACCAGCATTCAGATTTATGATTGTTATTCCAATATTTTGTTAAAGTTGTCAAGCTTAAATATTTAACGATGCCATACGGGAATTTCTACGGATATTTTATTGTCGTAGAACTCGCTACGAGTTTAATCATTAACTGAAGAATTAAGAATATTCATCAGAAATTTAAAATACGAAAACCGTGATATTTCCACTAGTGAATAATTATTTTGGTAGCCACTTTGCAGTGAAAGATCAATGTATATTTGTACTTAATAAGGTCTTTTATAACTTCGGAAATAAGTCTTGTGCTTTTGGGTAATTTAAAAACAAACAAAAAAAAATTCGAAGATCGTAAACACACTGAGTCAAGAAGGAATTTTTCTAAAAATTTGTTTTTTAATAAGTTTTATCGATTAAGGTTGTTATTTAGCACTTCAGCCGGAGACCTCGAGTTGACTTTGCTCACCCATCGGATTAAAAATATTTTCATTCCCAAATGTATTTTGTGTGTGTGTGTGTGTTTTTGTCAAATCTCAGACAGAATAACTAATTTATAAAAAGAATTAGTTCTTGCGCTGCCATATCTTTGAAGCTGTGTCTTGGTGTAAAGTTCGGTCACATAAATTGGAATGAGAAGGAGAGGAAGCTTAAGGATAGAAATGTAAAGGGCGTGTGTTACAAAGAGGTTAGAAAGTGTAGTTTGTATTCAGTGGCGGCGAAGTTGTTTGGAAATATCCAATAAAAATGGACGCCAGCGAGAATACCAAACAATGAAGCCAGTGAATAAAAAAAAAAAAAAACTGCACTTAATTTGTAGCCGTCTTTCAGGATTTTATTTTTCCACCCCCACCATTTGAGTCTGTGGTAAGGAGCTACATCAACCATGCACTGAAAAGATGGATTTGAATGTTCTCTATATAAATATGAATTCAATCCAACAGATTTATTATATAAAGGAAGGATAAATAGGAGAACGATTGTAAATATATCGAATTTCGCTGACTTTATAGCAGATTTATCAGCCGACATTTAAAAAGAAAAATGGACAAAACTGTAATTAAAACAGCTAAATATGTCAAATTTATAAACGTTTTCTTATTTCTTCCTTATTTAATCCCACATATACAATTATATATACAAATACGTCCTGGGTAACACGATAAAATACATCCGACAGCAAGTCAGGAGGTTTTGAGGAGCGTAGAACCACCTCTTAATTGCTGGTGTTCCCAGGTCCACCCTGACCCGGGGTGGTAGCACCTGTTAGGGCCCCAGCTATGGAAAAATAGTTAACTATTACCAGCAATACTTTTTTGAAAAAAATAATTACGAGAAATACAATTTTGAAGGAAATATATTACTAGAAACAGATTTTTGACAAAACAAAATAATACCAGCAATAATAAATTGTTGTCGGCTTTAAATAACCCATTGAGGTTGATATACCGTAAAGCAAAATAAACCAAACCAATCTAAACCAAAGAATACATATTCTATTCATACGAATCTATCCTAAAAATGTTGTCGGCATTAAATAACCCATTGAGGTTGATATGCCGTAAAACAAAATAAACCAAACCAATCTAAACCAAAGAATACATATTCTATTCATACGAATCTATCCTAAAAATGTTGTCAGCATTAAATAACCCATTGAGGTTGATATGCCGTAAAACAAAATAAACCAAACCAATCTAAACCAAAGAATACATATTCTATTCATACGAATCTATCCTAAAAATGTTGTCAGCATTAAATAACCCATTGATGTTGATATGCCGTAAAACAAAATAAACCAGACCAAACCTCTCTTTTAGTGCAGTGAGGGAGGTGCTGCTGCAACGTTGAAATCCTCGGAACCAGGCGTCTTCTTCAGCGATCAAAGAGCAGAACAGATACCACACATTGGAGGTACTCAAATGCTAATGATCATAAAAATGATACTGGAAAGTGAGCGTCCTAGTTAAGAGGATAAACTACATCCGACAGCAAGGAGGTTTTGAAGAACATGGAACCACCTCTTAATTGCTGGTGTTCCCAGGTCCACCCTGACCCGGGGTAGTAGCACCTATCAGGGTCTCAGCTATGGGCAAATAGTCCCCCCCGCACAGGGGGTCAAAACATTATGAAAGTGTAAAAATAGCTTTTAATACCAGAAATACTTTGTAATTATAACCAGCAATACATTTTTGAAAAACAAATATTACCATCAATACATTTTTTGACAAAAAATATTACCAGCGAAAGAAAATTATAAGCAGAAGTAGATTTTTGAAGGTAAAAATATTACCAGAAATAGATTTTTGGAAAAAATATTACCCGCAATAAAATTTTTGTCGACATTAAATAACCCATTGAGGTTGATATACTGTAAAACAAACCAAACATATCGTGTGCCTATGGCGTATAAAAATAGGTTTTAATACCAGAAATACATTTTTGGAAAAATATTACAAGCAGTATATTTTTTGAAAAAAAAAAAAAAAAAAAAAATTACCAGCTACAAACGCATTGTCGGTATTAAATAACCCATTGAGGTTGATTTACCGTAAACCAAACCAAACCTGAAGGTAAATTTACTCAGTATAAACTCACTTAGCGCGCATTTACACTTGAGTGAATTTTAAGTGAAGGTGTACACTAAACATATATTCGAATATAATGTTGCATCCAGTCTGTGTTAGTGTGCAAAGTGTACACTTCAGTTTAAGTGTAAGTTAATTTTGAGAGCAGTTTACACTCATAACGTGATTGCATCCATTCATTCAGTCAGGTCTAAGTGCTTATATTCATTCATGCTTTATCTCATAAGTCTTCACTTTGCTTATATTTAAGTATGCGCCATTGGCACAAGTTAAGTCTAAGTGACTCGCTGTGCCTTTTGGGGCTAAAGTTTTCCGTTGACATGAAGTGGGAATATTATATTGTATCAATTGTTAGGTCTGCTACTAGGAAAGTTGGGTCACTGTGTCGTTCCGGACTATTTTTCTCACCAGAATATCTCTTACGCATTTACAAGTCTACCATTCGACAATACATTGAATATTGTCGACGCATGTGGTCTGGTGCTTCTACTATGTATTTATAGACACTTGATAAAATCATGTAACGTAGCTTCCCTGTGTCTTTTCAATAAATATTTTCATGGTATTTGTTCTGGTGAGCTTTCATCTTTGATACCTAGACTATACGGATTTAAGCGCAGTACTAGATTGGCAGCGAGGTCTCATCATTTTACTGTTGAAATGTAACTAAGTTCTATGCTAACAGTTTCTTATCTTGAACTTCTCGCTTGTGAGGCTCTCTTTTGGCCTCTTGCTTTCCAGTCAAATTTCATCTTCAAAAATTTAAATGCAATGTCAATTGTTATCGTGTTCTCTCCTTAATGTTTTTTTTTTAATATTCAGACTTGGTGGCTCCTTGCGTTTTAGTGGCCTTATTGCTTTGCTTGGGGTTAATTGATCAAAATGTATATTTCATATATATATATGTGTGTGTGTGTTAGTTCTTCACTAAATTTATTTCTAAGTATTGTTCTGGATATGATAAAAACTACATCCGGCAACAAGGCCAGATTTGAGGAGCGTGGAACCACCTATTAATTGCTATTGTTTCCAGGTCTATCTTGACCCCGGGTGGCAGCACCTGTTAGGGTCCCAGCTATGGGCAAAGGCTGAAACCCCAAACTCCGGTCAAAACATGAAAATATAAAAATACATAAGAACAAATTACTAGCAATATATTTTCATAGTAAAAGAAAAAAAAATTACCACCAATACATTTTTTTGGGGAAAAAAATATATCAAAAAACAAAGCTCACAAGAAATAAATTTTTTGCATTAAATGGCTCATAAGGAGTTGATATGCCATTAAACAAACCAATTAAATCTATTTCTAAGTATAGCATTTTGCTAAAATTATGACTGCCAAAAGGTTTCCACACTAGTAATGCCTGAGCGTTTATCTTTGCGCAAGTTACGTCTGAATATAACTCATCACTTCACTCATTTAAAGTATGGCATTTTGCAAAAAGTCCGAGGATAGGTGAACATTAGACTTGAATCTTTCATATTTATTCACTCCAATAATTGGTCAATTATTTTCGACCAGTGTCTGTGTATAAGCGGCAAAGAATTCCCTCGTCCGAAATGTGGGCCTTA